CACCACCACCACCACCACCACCACCACCACCACCACCACCACCACCACCGCCACCGCCACCGCCACCGTTTCTTTCTTGAATCGTCCGCAGACACCTTCTGACTAATGACGTCATGAACTTCTGTTTTTTTCTTGATTTTATAATTTGCCTGGACATTTAATGCTGAATCACAAAAAACTGCTTTGAATCACGTATATTTTAAGCATTTCTGCACACGTATAACTAAGTTCTCTGGCCTTGGGCTGCGCCACTTTTTTCAACCGTGATTGGCTATCAGTTGAATTTCTGGAAAAAACTGCATCAGTTTCGACATGATGATGTACCTGAATAAATCAAAAAGATAAATGATTTGATAAACATTAGTTCCGCCATTACCGCTTCCACACTTGGACCCCTTCCGAGGGAGTCGCATTGCGCTCCACCAAACTCCAAATTATCGGATATTGACAGCTAAATTAGCATCTCAGACACATCTGCTCATTGGCTGATTTTAATGACGCGCTGCCTCAAGAATTTGCAGACTCGCAGAAATTTCTAGTCCAATCGAGATGCATATTGCCAAAACAAGCATATTAATTTTGATTGGTCAAAGATGCCGAAGATAGTGACCAGAAATCCAGTTCGTCCGTAGTTTGCTTTGTTTTTGTGTGAGTGAAGTTCAAAACGGCTGCGAACGCAACTCCAACAATTTACATTTTTTTTTCAACAATTCATTCGTACGTGTGATTGTATCAGAAGGTAACAAAACTGCTTTTGCAAGACGCTGCGTATTTTTTTTCACAAAAAAATATATTTTGACCAATTTTGAAAAAAGTGAGTGTTGGTCGTGTGCAGCTGACATTTCGAAAAGACCAAAATTAAAAATTGACATTTTTGCGAATTTGCATGTCCCTGGGTTAACTGGAATAACGAATGATTCACTTCAGTTAAAGACTTTATATGAGGGTTTCCATTTGTTAACATTTGCTCCCATAATAAACATTCCGTTTTTTTTGCTAAATCAATAAAATTTCAGATGACCTGGTGTGTCACGAATCCACATAAATCGCATCTTTGAGCAGTAACGAATTCGTGAATTTGGAAAAATTTGATTGGCTGAAGCGTTAATTTAAATCTGTCCCACATTGTGGTGCTTAGTATGCTTCTTTTTTTTCAATGTAAAGTAGCGTTCTTTATTATATAATCAGATGACCTGGTATGTCACGAATACACATAAATCGCATTTTTGGGCGCGAATGAACTCGTGAATTTGGAAAAATCCGATTGGTTGAGGCATTAGTTTAAATCTTCGCCACATTGTGTGGACCAATAAGGTTCATTTTTTTCAAATTGAAGTAGCATTCTTGTTTAATCAGCACAAAATTCTGCTGATTGTATCTTGTCATAAGTGTTAATGCAGGGAAATGCGTTTTTGTTTTGTTCTAACCGCATGGTACTCTTCTGCTTCCTCGGCCAAGGATTTGTTATTCAGCTTGGAATTTGATGTAGCGTGTTGCAGAGGTACCATTTTTTTGACTAAAAGTGTAACGTTTCATAAATTAAAAAAACCACAGAGAAGGCGTTTTTCCCTGCTATGGCAGCGCCTGCCAAAGTAAATGTTTTCTGACAACGACGTCGCCATGATTTCGAAATTTAAACAAAACTAGATTTAGACTGGTTTTATTGACATCTTATACTTAGAAATTGTAACACGTTCTAAATGAATAATTTTTTTTGTCAAATTTGTTTCCCTTAAGTTTACAGTTTTCGTACCAGGCAAACACAAAACACTTCAGTTTTTCTCGAAGCAAAGACGCTGGGTTCGATTCAAATGATATTTTGTACATAAATTTGGGTAACAGGTAGTCAAAGCGATAACCACTTTGGGTTTTGTGTATTCGGACTTTCTCAATAATCTTGCTTGATAGCATTAGCTACTTAAAAACTAAATTTAGTAGTATAGCACACTCAAAGCAGTGCACCTAACCGCCAAATCTGGCATCTCATCTAGGCCTTAGGTGGCGACAGTCGCTTCAAAGTGCACTCAACAGCCTCGCACCATCGTGGCGAAGACATTCGACGCCACCATCAGCACCACCGTCTTCCACAGACTTCCTCGACTTCCCAACTTCAGCGTGCTGTTTCGAGTGCCGAGTCGCCGGGTAAGTGAAACCCGTTTTTGCGTTGCTGCCATTTTTCAACCCTTGTCTTTTGTCCTATATTTCACTCAGCTCCTGTTTTGAGGCGTTTGAGCCATCGATTGCAAGTATTCTCGGTTCGTTGAGTCACTCGAGGTAGTGTTATGGTTTCCTCAGCATGGTCCCGACCACTCAAACTTAACCGAGCACATTTTAAAAGAGGCTTTAGAAAATCAATGAAAACGCGGACACAATCATTTTTATTGGTTGCGTCGGCGCATTGAAGGTCGTGGGCAATTTTATGTGTCTGATGTACACGCGGACGTGCCCACAAAGATACTGACGGAATTTATTTTCAGCTAAAAACTATTTCGAGCAATTTTGAATAAACCCAGCCTCCTGTCAATGTTTTTACATCATCAAACCCATTGGAAAATCGTTTGACGTGTTTAGCGTTAAATTGGCGGAACCACCATGTCCCAACCAATAGCAGCCTCATTATATGTTCACTTCGCAAACAAATGAACGATTTGCTTTTTGCTTGGTTAAAAGGGAATTAACCAACACTAATGGGTTAGTTTTAAGGAATCAAAAGTTTATTAGTATACTTTTTTGCAAATGGGCGTTGCTGCGTTACTTAGACTCAGTTGCAGATATTCCATTCGCAACAATTGAAAGCTAATTTACGACTAATAATCAGTGAAAATTGATTCGAAATTCGTGACCGGAATTAGCTACTCGCATCTTACATCTAATTTTGTAAAAAATCGCCCAGTTTTTAAATAAATCTCTTAATGATTAAAATGATAGCGTAAAATTGAGGCAAAATGGTGAAAGGTCATTAAAAATAGACAATTCAAATTTTCCTTCTTGCATTAAAAACTTTAGCTATTGAATCATTCTACAAACCGAAACTTTTTTCTTGCCAGCCAATTAAAAAGGACATTGATTGAGGAAAAATCCTTTTGGTTGTCCCGCAGAATTGACGTGAAAAACATGCGAATCGAGAGAGGATCAGGACCAGGAGGGTCACATCTATCCAAACAAATTGATATTACCAAGATTTAATAGCAAAGATTTTCCACCTTAATCAGAAATTCAACTTTCTTCAATATGTTCTCCTTCCAGCATCTTATGGTGTATAAAGTTGAGTTGTACATGCAATGCAATTTGAGGCAAGACCTGTGAAATTAACAGTGTTGATTTTCATAGAAATCAATACGAAATAAGCCAAGTAGTTAATGTTTAAAATAATCAGAATATTTGAGCATTTAAATGTGCAGCTAATGCCTGCTTGCTAAGCCCCAGTTCCTCACCAGTTTTCAGGCCTTTCATGGGTCACACATTAACATCAAAGCGTAGGAAAAACGCGTGTGGTTGTGCGTGTAGAGAACCCTTACATTCCTCTCCGTTATTTAAACAAGCCACAGCAGTCTCCTTTTCATTTTGTTATACATGTTTTTTTTCTCCAGACGAAATCGCTACTTGCAGGATCGCCATGCCCTGCAATTTGCAGTTATTTTTTTTTCAAACGAATTGCGGAAAAATCAGGACGTAGCTTCGCGCCTCAAACAGGCTTTTCCTGACATTTTGCTAGTCGCGCATGCAACTTGCAAGTGACAAAGAAGCGAAATTTCGGTTGTTTGTGATTTGCTTTTTTTGCAAGAGAGTGGATAATCAAGTTGAGGCGCGACAGACATTTACAACTTCGTGGCAGGATAAATTGGAGAGGTCGGGGGGAAAACTTTGAGCCTCGTTTTGCATTACGAGAATGAGCTGGTGCAACTGCGATTACGCGCCATTATTGATTTTTGATAATGTGAGAGCTTTGTTTAAATTCGCGCCTTGTATCGGATAAACAAAATTGATGCGGTCAAAGCGGTGATGAATTTTAGGCGTACAAAATTTTGCTGCACAAATATCTTTTGAAGGAAAAAATACAAGACATTTGTTTGGCCATGCTGCCATCCTTACTTCTTAATTAGTTGTTTTCTTTAAAACTGTTAATTATATCAAATTTTGGCGCCAAATTTAAAAACAATCAAGTGCGAGTGTTAGTCCTGCATTTGTTCTGCCTTGCATTGTAGCAGAAGACTTGGTGCTCCCTAGGTTTCTATACACAAGACATGAATACTTGATAAGTCTCGATTCTGTTATTTTGCGATGCCGACGATTTCGCACTTAAGCGCCACGCATTTTTTGGCTTCGTGCAGGTTGCTGTTCTTCAAGTGGAACAAATGTTCTTTTTTTGAAAAAAAGCACTCCAACCACCAGTAGGTGAACTTCACTTGGCTAATTGGTAATTCTGTTAAAAGCTGTTAAGAGTTTCGACAGGAAACACCCAAACAATCGTTTTCTGGTTTTTTGAAACCCCACAGTTTTTCGCGAATCGACTACTTTTTGCGTTTTTAATTTCACGAGAAAAAGGACATTTAAATGGGGTTGTTTAATGCAACGACAATTTTAATGCGTGAAATTTAATTGTTCAACGCATAGCCAAAAAAATTAATAAGTATGCGCTTGGTATCGCGCGGATTTTGTGTCTACTTGTAATAACCAATCACCTTAGGAATAAGTGGAGGTATACATTAAAACAAACCTATATGAAAAGGCTTCGAGGATTCTAGTGATTTCATGATCTTGTCTAAATCCCTAGTCGATTTGACCGCCTAACAAGTACAGCACATTTTGCTGTCATAACAACGATTATATTGGTTGACCTTTACAGCGAAAAAGGCGTGAGTTTGAATGCTTGAGTGTTGTCATCGTGAATCAGCAGGGTTTGTTTAAATGCACAGAGTCCAGCACAATCAGTAAACATTCATTATGGTGGACACGCCAGAGAGTACGCGGGTGTGGGTTAAGATTGGAAGCGGTCAAGCGTACAATGTGCTGACGGTTGTGGTTCACTGATAACTAGTGCAGTAACTATGCGTTTTCGTCTAATTTTCGAACCTTTAATGTTGCACATCAGACCAACCGAAGTCGGTGTAGTAC